TTTAAATTGGAAGAGAAATGGAACCATAATAAAGCAAATATAATGTAACCTAGAGCTCAGCTTGGCAAGCAGCTTTTCATTGTTTCTTCTTTTAACTGTATGATGTGTTGACACTAGCTGGATGCCAGGTGTCCACCCAAGCCACTCTATCACTCCTCCCCTCAGCTGGACAGAGGAGAGATAATATAAGGAAAGGCTCAAGGGTCAAAATAAGGGCAGAGACAGATCAGATCACTCACTGACTGCCAACATGAGCAAAACAGACTCAACCTGGGGAAATTAGTTTAATTTATCAAACCAGAGCAGGATAATGACAAATAAGACCAAATCTTAAAGCACCTTGCCTCCACATTTCCTTCTTCCTGGGCTTAACTTTACTCCTGATTTTCTCTACCCCCCCCCCCCCCCCAGCAGCACAGGGGTATGGGAATGGGGGTTTTGGTCAGTTCATCACCCATTACCTCTGCTGCTTCTTGCTCCTCTGGAGGACTCCTCATATCCTTTCCCTGCTGCATCATGGGCTTCTCTCTCCTTGGGGCCACAGGTCCTGCCAGGAGCCTGCTGCAGCGTGGGCTTCCCAAGAGGTCACAGCCTTCTTTGGGCATCCCTCTGCTCTAGTGTGGGATCCTCCATGGGCTGCAGGTGGATTTCTGCTCCACTGCTGCAGGGGCACAGCTACCTCACCATGGACTACAGGGGAATCTCAGCTCCAGCACCTGGAGCACCTCCTGCCCCTCCTTCTGCACTACCTGGGGATCTGCAGAGTGCTTTCTTTCACATATCCTCCCTCCTCTATCCATCTGCATTTGCACAGGTTTTTATCCCCCTCCTAAATACATTATCCCAGAGGTGCTGCCACTGTTGATGATGGGCTCAGCCTTGTCAATTGACAAGTCCCTCCTTGGAGCCAGATGGCATTGGCTCTGTCAGACACGGGGGAAGATTCCAGCAGCTTCTCAGAGAAGCCTCCCCTGTTGCCCACTCACTACCAAAACCCTGCCATGCAAATTCAATAAAGACTATTTTTTCATCCTTCTTTCCAATTATAGGCTTTGTCTTCAGCTTTGATAGGTCCATTTCTGTGAAAAGGTTGTTGGCTACCCCAAGGGCTGTAGACAAAATAAAGTTAGCTTAGAGAGAAATCTGTTCTCAGAACACTGGATACTCAGCTTCTATATTGTATTTAGCAGCAAGCAACCAGCAGTGCTAGGAGGGATTGCCAAAGAGAAATGAGATGAAAAACGTGAAAGGATTTCTAAGTAACTTTCCTTGCTGAAAGATCACTTTCTGTGTTGAAAGATCACTTTCCAAGGTGTTCCCTTGGTGCTGGGATGTTCAAGGAGGTGCACCAGTCTCCTCATAATCTCCACTTTCGATAGGTGAGAGGTTAATTTCTCCCAACAGGGATATGATATATCCATAATTGCATCAAAGCAATGTCATTCTATAGTATTGCTAGATCTGTAACTTAGGAAGTTCAACCTACAATTAGTGAAAATTGCCTTCTTCCTTCAGATGACAATTTTGTCAGTCACGCAAGCATTGAAGTGCATGAAATCACTGGATTGCATCACAGCCTCTAAAGCTCCAGAGATATTGAGCAAGTTACCTGTGGAACTTTTGTGCTTGGCACTTATTATGTATTTATACATCAGGGATTGTGCAATGATTAAATCCCTGCATTTGGCCATGATCCTTTCAGCTGGTGCCTTCTCATGCCCTTTGCTCTGTCAAAGGAGTCCTAAACCACTGGAAATTACAGAAGGGAATTTCCCCCATTCAGTTCTGTTTTTCCTGTATTGCTGTAATGCTTTATTTTCATCAGTTCAGACAAGGCAGTAATACGCATTAAAGCAACATCTCTTTGTGACGGTGAATAAACATGGAAATTTTGGTTAACTGCCAGTCAATTAACAAGTGTCAATGTTTCTCATTGTAGGGTATAGGTAAAGATATAGACAATGTCTAATATCCAAGTAGGTAAGAGATGTTTTGGGGTTTCTTATTTTACTCTTTCATGTTTAATATTAGACCTAAACCCATAAAGTGACTATAAGATATAGTCTATCAATCAAATAGTTAATGATCATAAAATTCCTTCTCTATCTTTCTCTTCAGAAGTTAATGGTGTGTTTTAAGCCTTGTATCTGTAGGATTTTTTTTTAGGAGCTGCATGGTCAAATAGGTTACCATTGTGGGGCTACAGTTTCAAAGCTGATCCCCCCCAAAATAATGGCCATTTTTCCACTGGTATAGGGGTATTTATCAAGGCTGAACTATTAAGTCCTTTCAGCACTTCAGACTTTCAGCAGGTCCTCTGGGATAAAAGAGAGGAGCATATTACCAGGATACAGCAGCCTGGTGACCTGGAAAAGTGCACATAGAGGGGCTCTAGCTTTGCAGGTGGTGTCTGACAGCAGTTTGACTCCCCAGCTCTCCTCTCTAACATCCCCAAACTGCTCAAAACTGTCAGTTTCCATATATATATATATATATACATATATATATAAAACACACACACACACATATATATATATTAGTATAATATGGAAAAGGCTCAGTTTTCCCTGATGCATTTCCTCTCCTTCCATAGCTCTAACTGAATGCCCCTGCATCACTGGCACCTAGGCTGTCTTTGCCTCACCATTTGTAATACTGTTGCCTAAAAAGAGCACTTGAATTAAACCTCCAAGACCCAATTTGTGAGCTTTAAAAGTCAGGCATCCTTTAATTGGCGCTGGGTGCACTGGGTATCATCATTACATGAGTATTCATTTTTCATTGCCCTCATTGCTGTTACATATTCATGACATTTCCCAAAACTTCTTAGCATGTATGCATGTCCTCATAAGGTCTCTGAGGGTCTTCATCTGGGGTCTTCAGTGGTCTCCCTAAGTAACTGCCTTGTGAACTTCTTCAAGACAGTGCACCTGGTTAAAAAGTAACTGGGTGTTGCCTTGCTGGCTGTCTCACTTCCCCTCCTCATTGTTTCTTTAAATCACTTGGCTCAGCTATCTGTAGTTTCTATGTTGTAAATACTATCAGTTCTTGTTACATCTCTAAACTCCGACATTAATACACCCAGGAGGGTTTGAGACTGTTCCTTCTGTCCCCTGGAACAACAGGAGGGGAAGCGTAGGAGAGGCTGAACACTTTTTCAGTCTGTGTTTTGGTGCTTTGTCTTATTGTGAGTGCAGCATCAGGGAGGGAGAGCAAGGTCTGTGGGGGAATCTGAGCAGGGGCAACAGAAGGGAGGGAAACTGAGAAGCTTACAGCAAAGTCAAGTCAGGAAGAAAAATAAGTTGGGAAACTAAAATAAGAAAAGGAGAGTTAAATGTGACCAACCCAGAAAAAATAATGTGGCCTTGATCATGGCTTGGGAAGGAACCCAAGTTTAAGATCATGCTCAGGGAAGGGCCACATCCAGCTGAAGTTTGAGTATCTGCAGGTGTATTCAAACTGGGCTTTCACATCCTCTCCTGGTCAGCCTGTCCCAGTGCTTCACCTGTTGGCCAGGGAAAGGGGTTTCCATGTGGCTGATGGGAATTTCCCTTTTCACAACTTGGGTCTGATGGCCCTTGTGCTTTGGCTGTGCCCCTCTGAGGAGACTCTGGGCACAGCCCTCCCCACGTAGCCTCACAGGCCCCAGGGCAGGGCAATGACAGCTTCCCTCAACCTGGCAGCCCCCTCGCTGACCCCCTCCATGTGCAGCCTTTGAATTGCAGCAGTATTAAGACACTAAACACAGGGAAACCAGGCTGGAAGTCTGGTTGGATCAGCGTGGACAATAGTCACCATCCACTTGTTCCCAAGGAAAAATGAATAATCACCTCCCTTGAACACGTAAGCACCTCTCTGTTTCTATATTTTTTTGCCCCCTGTTTGCATTATGGGATTGTGAAGGTAAAGAATGATAAGATACAGTGATGTGTCATATCAGGACTAGCAGAGCTTTCTTCAGCCGTTTGCATTAATACCCTTTGGCTATTTTTTTTTTTTTTAAATTACTTTGTGCAAATAAACTGAAGGCACTTTGTACACAAGAAGTACAAACAAAATGACAGTGCTCCTGAAGTTGGGGCCCCCCTCCTGGCTTTTGTTCTAAATCTTAACCTTATCCTAATTTCCTAAATCAAACAAACCATGAGATAAAAGGAGCACTATAAGCACAAGTCCAGCTGCCACAGGAGGAGGCATGATGCCAGCCTTGGTCACTGGTAGCGTGATGAAAACTGCCTGGGGGCAAGAGTACAGGGTGAGCACTGCCTTCGTGGTGTCATTGCTCAGGTATCCAAATTGCTGGTGTTTAGGTAGCAGTGTCAAAGTACAGATGAGATGATTCTCTCCAAAAAGCACTGAATGGAGAGGAAATAGAGCTGTAGAGTCACAGGGGAGACTTGAGATGCAAGGCCACCTCCATCTAGATAACAGCATGGCCTAGGAAATGGCATAAGAAACAAGCTGGGTGTAGGTGTTACAGATTTGGGATCCTTGAAATCCGTGTGTTAACGAAAAAAATATCAAGCCAAACTGTCCTAATTTCAGGTATTACCATTCTAGTTAATGTAGTTTGAGGCATTGCCTACTGTGGACAGATAGTCCTCAAAACAGCGCAGAAATAGCTGCATACTGAGAGCACTGATCTTTATGTATTTTTATGGCATTTCACTATGATCCATAAAACAGTTACATCAGGGCATGGGTTCTTTGTTGCCTCTTCCCTTGTCCCTTGGCCAGGGGCTGTGGCTCTCCAGAGAAGCATCTCCAGCATGTCTGGTGCCATGCACACTGCAAAGCTGCTAATGTATACTCAGCCATATGAGCTTCCCTAAATTGTGGCTATTGTATAGAGAAATTATTTTCTCTGAATAACAACCTATTCTGGAGTTCAAGCTGTTTACATTTCTAGAAAGAGGTACTGGCAGTCTGTGAAGGATTACCGTGTTCTTGAGCTCTACCTTAAGAGAAGCCACTTACAGCTCAGGTTACTCTATAAGCAGCTGGAGTTGGTAGCAGCTCCTGTGTACACTGGCCAACCAGGACATGGCCTGCAGCCAATCCATTATTTTCACACAGATCCCTAAACAGCACGGGAAAGTACCGTCCTTCAGTAGCAGCTCAAACAGGGTGTTTGCAGTGATGACAGAGCCTTTCCCCGGTGGTTTCTCCAGAGCCATGTGAGGCAATTGTAAGATTCTGTGTTTTTGTTGAATGTTCAGGAGTCGCAATACTCAGGTACGGTTTGGGATGGGAAAGCAACAAGCTACAGCTCTTGTTTATGAAGCAGCATTAATGCATTCTGGACAGCACAGATTCAGTGGAAAATACAGGCCCCATTTCAGGTTGCTTTTAAGCTCGCTCTGTTTTAGATTAAATAGTTCAGATGTGTAATGAATGGGTTGAAAGTGATGACAGGTATAGGAAGCTGAAGAAACCTATTTCCATGAATACTCAATATTGCTCACATGTCCTTGCCAATACTACAATCTAGATTTCAGAAAGCAGTAATCTGCAAAGCCTGATGTTACTGTGTCAGCCAACCAGTTAATATTAATGTAGTGCTTTTGTATCATCACAGCTAGTGACCCAGCTCCTGTGAGCACACCATATTGAAATGAATCTGGCTGGGTCAGCCCACCTCCACCAGCCCCCAGGCTGGGTTTATTAAACTAGAACACAGCAGACACACAGTTTCTGTAGGTAACATTGAGAGTTACCTACATTTGACTTTCCTCATTTCACAACCCACACTCCAACCCCTAAAGCTACACGTCCTTCACCCACAGAACCATTACCTCACAGACTTTTATTTCCTTTTCTTTTAGACTGAATCTATTAAGCTACTTAAAAAAAATAAAAAAATATTCCCCAAACACACTTACACTCTTATCACCGGTTATAGTACCAGGAAGGTGTGCTGGAGCCAAATCAGGCACGATGGAATTTGCCGTGGGGAAACCCAGCGCTGATGACAGTGGAACCCGCCCGCGTGTGAATTCCCGTGGCTCCTGCCACCCCTTTATAAGCAGGTGAAGGTGAGGCAGGGCTGGCAGAACAGGCAGGCAGCAGCCAAGCTCTCACTGGAGCACAGCTGTGAGTGTGAAGTGGGAATGGCTGGCTTTAGCAGCAAGAGCATGGTCCTGGTCTCCCTGATGGGGCTCCTGGTGCTGCTCCTGTGTGGCACCTCCGAAGGTGAGTGAACTCTGGCGTTCTGCCCCAGGAAGCAGCTCTTGGTGCTGCTCGCAGCTGGCGGCAGGAGGAGGGTGAGGTGGGGGGAATGCTTTCAGCAAAGTGTGCTGCCTCATCCTCCTCTTCTGTCAGGAGGGAGCTGGATAGTTGGGTACGGTGAGTACTTAGACATCGCAGCAGCACGAGCCAAATGGGTTTTATTTACTTTGCTGTTTTCCTTCATTCCAGCACACAGTAATCATGATTGCTGCCTGTCTTACACCAAAGTGCGTCTGCCTCGGTGGGCCCTGAAGGGTTACACTGAACAGCTCGCCAGTGAAGTCTGCGATATCCCTGCAATCATGTAAGTTACTTTTCAGAAGATCCTCCAGTTTTTCTGATACGTATTAACCTTAGGATGTCTGTTTGGGGAGAAATAATTATTTGAATGATTTTTCTTGCTTTTTCAAAAACCTAAATTAACTGAAAAAATTGTATATAATACCTGTAAACAAAACACACAACCTGTAGTTGACAGGGACTACTAACTCATGGGACAGCCATACAATGTAAATAATAAATTCCTGACTGTTTAGGAATCAGCTGTGCAAACAAAGACCTGCTTCGTTTCCAGCTGAGGGCCACTCTAGCCAACACAAGGTGTTCCCTTGCCAAGACCTGTTAGCAGACACATAAGTGACAGGAGTTCTCTTACTTCACAGGGATAGGATTTCCTTTTCCACAAGGTTTTGTCCCTCCTAGATGTTGATCTGTCACCTTAGTTTGACAGCAACTAATCTGCTTAATCTTAGAAATTATTTCTGGTATCCAGCAAAGGTCTTTGTCTCAATGGATCAAATAAATTGAACACAATTTTATGGTGCAAAAAATGATCCCTGAGACTGAAGCAGCTATTACATTCAAATTTAATTGGATGTTTCTTTATGTTCATATAATATTGGAGGAGTTTGGATTATCCTATATCTAACAATAACAAACTAACTGCATTTACAAAAGCAGTTGTTATTGTTCATTATATAGAGTAACTATGACACTTTCTTTGACAAAATGGATCTTCACAGTATTTACTAGTAGGGATTTCTAATTATTTACTGATTTCTTTATCATTATCTCTTTTCCAGTTTCCACACCAACAGTGGGCTGAAGGCCTGTGTAAATCCCAACGAAGGCTGGGTGAAGAAGCATCTTCTTTTCCTCAGGTAGGAATCTAAACATCTAAATAATGAAAGGCTGATGAAAACAGGGCATATATGAAAGCTTGTTTCTCACATCTCCTGATGGCGTTGGTGAACACATTTGTCTTTCTGTCTCCTGTCAGAATTGGCTACTCCTTTTTAGAGTCTTCTCATGTCCACATGTCCCTTTCCCTACCTGAACTATTCTCTCAGAGAAGAAATCTGTAACTGACCTGTGGCTGAGGTCTTTATTTATGTGTTTTCTCTCTTTTTTTCAACAGCCATAAGCTCAAGAGGATGTCAGCCTGATATGGTTTCCAGCAAGGAAATAAACACAGACTTGGCTGAAGAATCACCAGGTTCAACCTCTTGGTTGAGATTGTCTTGTACACTGTTGTGTGCTCACTCACCTCCAACTCAGGCTTCTTTGGAACTGTTGAACTTCTCTAGTTGATTCATATTGCATCTCTGGTTTGCTTGATTTAAGCATTTTGTTACAGTTTCTATTTTTACTAATATGTGTACTAATATGGCATGAAATTATTTAGTAAAGACTACCTTAAGCTGTTGTACAGAGTATTAAGTTTATTGTATGTTGTTTTTGTTTTGTTCCACATGTGTAAAGTGGCTTATTTATTCTATTTATTTTATTACTGTCTTGTGCCAAAATGTTTCCTTGTAGCTGTAGTTAGCATTATAATACTCCTTGAGCTATTGCTAAAGAAAGTCTGCCTGTGGAAAAAAAAAAATGGAAATTGGAGTTTAAAAAAAAATAAATGTTAAAATCAGCACTCTCTGTGTGATACGTTTATTTTTTTAATTAAAACATGTGACTTCCCCTTGAAATGAATCCCTTTGCTTATGAGCCTCCAGCTGAAACAATTACACAAGTGTGTTGACACCTGTTAAAGGCACTTTCCACCTTCCTCACTTTGTTTGCCCTAGGGGTAGCTATGACCTCCAGAGGATGTAATTGCTTCCTTACCCCCAGACAACTGCTATAAATCAAGCTTTTGCTTAACATGAAGACCTGTTCTTAGCTCAGTTTGATCTTAACCAGACTTGAGAGACTTTCTTTTACACGTTTCTCTATTTATTCAGGAGGGACCTTACACATACTGTCACTGGGCAAGCTTCTAGCCTGAGGAGGACTGATTACAGTACCACAGTCTGCTCTCAACTCAAAAGATGATATATCTATAGAGGAGAAATTTGCAGTGCTTTTCTGCCCTTTTTATGTTTCCTATGTTATCCTATGGCTTCTACCATAATGAGGTTTTCTTGGTGCAGGATCTCTTGATGGAGGTTAATGATGCCTGACAAAAGTAATGAGACTTCATGGAAGGTAGGAGATGGGTGCAGGTTGAATGGGGAAGGCTGCTCAGCTCTTTACATACTATTACATGGCCCACATGAAATTCAGGGATGTGACCATGTAGGCTGTGTAGTTCTCTCCCTCTCAGCACTGGAGTATTATGGATAAATTTACACCTTGGCTTGGTACCTTTTAGTCATAGAGATACAAGCATTAATTTTAATTTAAACTTAGAGAGAATATATTTTTGGTGCCCTTGAGAGAGGAGCTGAGATGAATTGGGTTTTTAAAATGATGGTCATGAGCGAAAGGCTGTTATGTTCTGATTTCAAAACTTGCTAGGACTTAATCCGCTTGTCACTCTGCCAATCTGGGAACTGTCAGTTCTCTGTGAGTGAAGCTCTGAAGGAGCGAGATAATTTTGCTTTAATTTCCAGCAGGTGGATTCCATGTCCTTGATATTGAGGATATCAGGTGAGAAGCTATCAGCTTTCCAGGGAGGAGCTATTACCCAGCATGTTCCCTAATCCTTCCCCCATATCTTCTAGAACTGGTGTGGGCTCCTGTTTGGGATCAGAGAGTTTTTAGGCTAAATCAGCTACCAACAAAATGGTACAGACAAGACTAATGGATCTGTGTTAAAAGTGTCAGAAGCCGAAGTTCCCCAAGCCTACCCTGGGAACAGGTGAGCATTGGTGGAGATGTTAGGAACCAGAGCTGTAATGAACTTGGTGCAGAAAAGCCTAAAGACCAAGCTAGTGAATTCAAAGCAGGGGAACAAAATAAGAAAGTGAAGACAAATGTGTGAAATTCTGTGGGTGGTTCTTTACTCCCTAGTTGGGCCTGCTAAAAGTTTTGTATTGTTTCTATAACTTGTCCTTCCTCTGGTTATCCATAGTTGTATTGCTACAAAACTCTACATGCTTCCTCCATAGAGCTATGACTTGTGAGATTTCTTTTTAGTTCCTCTTATTCTGGTTGAACTTTTTTTATATCCAACTTCTTTTGAAGAAAAAAAATAAATATTTGTTTCTGTGCTCAGTATCAGAAATAGATAAGGTTGTTATGTTACTGGTACAAAAGTCTGTGTGAAAATAACATGTCCCTCCATTAATTCCTGAGGATAAAAACAAGTATTATAAGCAAGCGCTGCATCTCCAAAATCATCAGATCAGAGGCACGTTTTTGTAAGTAACCTTAAGTGCTCAGTTAAAAGTTCTGACAGCTCTGTAAATCATGACCATTTCTAGGAAAACTTGAATCCCAATTACTTTGGTGGGACTGTTTTGCATCTCTGTAGGTGAGTTTCTTTTTCCTCTCTATCTTTGGCCTTCAGCTTCTAATTCAGCATGTGCAATTTTGTTGAATAATTTGAGATGCAGTATTAGATGACGATGGTAATTTGGGGACTTTTCCCCTTCCATTTACATAATTTTTCAAATCAAAATGATTTTTTCTTGCAAAGTGCTGAGGCTTTTTATTACAGCTTGGATATCACTTGGGAATTGGCTATAAGAGCTTTTCCTTCAAAGTCTCAGCACAACTTCATACTTCAGTTTCAAAATCTCCTTCTTTTGCTGTACCGAGACCAGTCCTCAGTGATTCTTGTGCCAGCTGGAGTATTACTATTGAATCCTATTTGTGCATATTCTTTCTGTGTTCTTTTTGTTTGGTTGGTTTTGGTGCATTTTAAAAAAATACGGTTTTTCTTCCTTTTTAATTTCTTTTTTTCCTTCCACAAAGCAATCTCACACCAGTTCCAGTCAAGACACTGCACCTTTTTGTTTTGTTAGGATCCTTGACAGAATACTTTCTGTTCACATAAGAATCATAATTAGATTTACTAATTTCTTATATTTTTTTTTAATCCCACCCCTGCACAAAGCAACAAAATAACTGTGCATGGAAACTGATTTTTGTAAGGAATAGCAAATCTTCTGCTGATTTAATTTTACTGGAAAAATATAAAACCTGATGCATTTCACCTGCTAGGCAAGTACTAAGAAGTTATTTGTTGCATTACTCTTCAGTTGATAGTAGCATCTAGCTATCAGTTGAAGACTGTTTTTTCGTTCCTCATCTACTTTTTCAGCCTTCCACACAAAGGGAGGTTATAAAACACCTGCAAATCCAAGAGACAAATGGGTGAAGACCCTTATCCCGCAGTGTGCATGTTCTCAAGTATATCTGAAACCCAAGCATTACTGGGTGTGCTTAGTGTCAATGGCACTTTTAGCTCCTAGGGATGTTGATAATTGGTCAGTTATTTTCAATTACCAATACCATTGAGCCCACATGTAGCCTGACTTCACTCCTGATGAACTGGAATGCATCATTCTGCAATTTTTTTGAGAATTGAATCAGGGAACTCATGAATCAAGAAGGGCTTTAAGCTTGTGACACTATAACTTGATTCTAATGGCATCCATCCAGCTGGATAAACATCCAGCCAATACAGATGGATCAATTGTAACAAGCCTTCTGTATGCTGAGTTACGCTGTGTTACACCCTGGCAGTCTTGTTCCAAATACCAGGCTACAGGCAACATCCTTTGCCAAAATATGAATCATAAAAGAAGCTTTTATCACCAGATTAAATCCAGTGCATTGTTCATGCATGTTTACTATGCAATTATAGTTGTATGACCGTACATAAATGAAAACTATGATCTGTGTTCCCATGATGTCGTGGTTTCTCTGTTCTGGGAGGTGTCGGCCTTAACTGTGCAGTGTTGCAGTCCTAACTCTGTAAAGGTTTTTAAATTGCTGTGTTTCTTCCTTCTGAATTTCCAACTGCACATAGCTTCCAGCCAAAGCCCTCCTAGAGTTGCTGGTGTTAGAACATTTAAACACAGTATACAATAGGTGCAGTCCTGTGGCTGCTATTATACATTAACCACAGTAGCTCATGTAAATGAATCCAGGCACTTGTTTAATAGTCTTTTAGCTTCCTTGAATTTATAGCATTATTCAAAGATTATGCAATCAAAAATACATATTAAATGTAAAAGCAGCAGATGAAATTTAGAATACTGCATGGTTAAAACAGAAATATGTCACAGGAAAAGTAGAGACTAAAATACTATTGTTAATTCTTCTTACTAATTTACAACAGCATTTCTGTAGTTTTGCTTCTATGACTTCAGTTATATCCCCAAAATAAAGTAACAATTTTATTTGTAAGCACCTGCATCTACGTTTCCATGTTCCTGAAGTTTTGCTGCACCCTAACTTTACTGCTGGAGATGGATGTAGTGGCTCACAGACTTTAGACAAGATATAGTGTGTTCAGGCAGCATTAGCTCTTTCCTGCGCCATAGTGAATGAGAAGACACACAGGGGTAGCTGTAATAAGCTATCAGATATGCTCTTCTGTTAGTTGACACTTGGTAAGACATGCTCATGGTAAGAATGAGGGAGAGAGAGAGAAACCAACTTTTGAAAATGGGAACAGTGTGGCCCAGCACTTGGGATTCCTGGTGAGAAAGCCTGAATGACAGGATCCATGTGATAGACAGCTACAGGATAAAGCAGCTTAGGAAACATGAAACATTGAAATAGTCCAGTTGGGGTACCATGATTAGTGAAGCCATGTACCAAAGTGTACAAAACAGTGCACAAAGCATTTCTAATTTCTCAGCCAGAATTTAGGTACACTTTTGATTCAAGCTGTAACTGTCTTCTCTCCTGGCAACGTGCTCATAAGCAAAGAAAGGCAGAACATTTATGTGTAGGCAAAAATGTTATGTGTAGGATGGTCTAGTACAACAAGTACTTGACTCTTCCTATAGCTTTTGGATGACAAAATTTAGTCAAAACATATATCGTTCTGAGCGTGGCTTGCAAGGGAATAAACTCTGTACCAAGAATTCATATACACAACTATTGAGGTGACAGCAGATGGCATTCTAAGGTACCAAGGGCAGAGAAACATTACAATCTGTTAGGAGCTACAGACTCATACCTGGGGGGAACAGCAGGTGTTGTATATGCACTGACTGATCAAGCCATCTGATTAGAGTCGTACCAGTGAGATGGGTTCAAGTGAGTGGTCCAATTTGCAGTGAAACTGTCAATTACAGTGTCAAGATTAAACTAGTAATTTAATATCCTTGCAGCAGCATTGGTCAGGCACAAAGCTACTGATAACACTATAAACTTACAATGTAGAAAAATGGGAATTTGATAGATTTAACGTGGCAGATAAATCAAGATGTAGAGTGACTTCCAAATGTGGCAGTATCTCATGTGTGAATAAGCTGTGTTATACAGCTGTATTTAGGGAATACAAATCAAAATGTTCATGTAAAAGTTTGTCATGTGTATTTGAAAAATAATATTTTAGCTATATGTCCTACTACAGTGATTTGTTTTTTTCAAATGTACATTTAATAGAGCTGGTTCAAAAAGATGATTGTGTTCCCATGAGCATCTGAATGTTCCATGTTGTTATGACTCAGAGTAAATGGTGAAAATGTCTTTCAGAGATGATGCAAATCTCAGAGATATATCAGATATTGCAAATCCCAGAGTTGCTTACTCTATAGCATCCTCCAATTTGGTATGAGAGTAGGCAAAAAGGTTTCATTAATTTGAAAGTGGGTAGTGCTGTATTATTGCTTATTACAATTAATGGATGATATACACTTATCTTGTTTCACACATCCATATGAAGTACATTGAAATGATGGTAAAGAAACTTAGAAAACAAGACAATGTAATAGGATTA